CCCAGCCTGGAGTGCAATGGTGTGATCTTGGCTCACTGCAACGTCCGCCTCCCATGTTCAAGTGATTCTCCTGCCTCAGCCTCCCGAGTAGCTAGGGTTATAGGCATGAGCCACCATGCCCAGTTAATTTTGTATTTTAAGTAGAGATGGGGGTTTCTCCATATTGGTCAGGCTCGTCTTGAACTCCTGACCTCAGGTGATCTGCCTGCCTTGGCCTCCCAAACTGCTGGGATTACAGACATGAGCCACTGCGCCCTGCTTCCTTTTTTTTTTTTTTTTTTTTTTTTTGATGAGGTGGAATTCAGTGGCTCGATCTCAGCTCACTTCAACCTCCACCTCCTGGGTTCCTGCCTTAGCCTCCCAAGTAGGTGGGACTATAGGCATGCGCTACCATGCCCCACCTAATTTTTTTAATTTTTAGTAGGGATGAGGTTTTATCACGTTGGCCAGGCTGCTCTCAAACTCCCGACCTTGTGATCTACCCACCTTGGCCTCCCAAAGCGCTAGGATTACAGGTGTGAGCCACTGTGCTCGGCTTCCTTGTTTTTCTTTTTTTTTTTAAGACAGACTTGCTCTTTTATCCAGGTTGGAGTGCAGTGTTTCGATCCTGGCTCACTGCAACCTCCACCTTCTAGGCTCAAGCAATTTTCATGCCTTAGCCTCCCAAGTAGCTGGGACTACAGGGATGCGCCACCAGACTGGGCTAATTTTGTTATTTCCAATCCCGTGGCAGCTCCAGCCCTGGCCTCAGCCCACCACTCCTCAGCCCCACTGCCTGGCAGCCTGGGTGGCCTCACATGAACCGCCATGCCTGGCCTCCTTTTTTTTTTTTTTTGAAACAGGATCCATTATGTTGCCCATGCTGGGCTTGCACTCTGCACTGCAAGCAATCCTCCCGCTTTAGCCTCTGGTGTAGCCGGGATGACAAGTGTGTGCCCCCACGCCTGTCTCCAAAGAACTCTTAAATTTCAACAATAATAAGACCCAGTGAAAAATGGGCAAGAGACCTAAACACACACCTCACCAAGTGAAAGATATACAGATGGCAAATATACATATGAAGAGATGCTCCACATTATATATCATTAGAGAACTGCAAATAAAACTGAAGCGATATAACTTACACTTATTAGAACAGACAACGTTCAAAATATTGAGAACAGCAATGGTTAGCAAAGATATAGGCAACAGGAATCCTGATTCCTTTGCCGGTGGGATTGAGAAATGGTAGGTCCACTTTGGAAGATAGGCAGTTTCTCACAAAACAAAACCTTCTCTTACCAGAGGACCACATTCTCTTATCACATTCCTTGCTATTTACTCACATGAGTTGAAAACTACTGTTTACACAAAAACCTGCTCATGAATATTTATGGAAAATTTCTTCATAACTGCCAATTTTAGGACTTAACCAAGACATCCTGCAACAGGTTTATGGATAAACAATCTGTGGTACAATCTTATGATGAAATACTGTTCCATGGTAAGAGAAATCAGCTATCAAGCCATAAAGACACAGAAGGACCTTTGAAGTACATTGCTCAGTGAAGGATGCCAATCTGAGAAGGCTACATCCTGAATGACTCCAAGTGTATTACATTCTGGAAAATATAAAACTGTAAGACAGCAACAATATCTTTGGATGTCAAGAAGTTGTGGGAGGCAAGGCACAGTGGGAAGCCAGGGCAAGTGAACTGCTTGAGCCCAGGAGTTTAAGACCAGCCTGAGCAACATGGCGAAACCCCATCTCTACAGAAAATACGAAAATTAACTGGGCATGGTGGCACACACATGTAGTCCCAGCTATTCTGAGGAGACAGGAGGATCACCTGAGTCCAGGAAGTAAAGGCTGCAGTGAGCCATGATCACACACCACTGCATTCCAGCCTGGGCGAAAAGGAGTGGGACCCTGTCTCAAAAAAAAGTTAAACATGGGAGAGTGAGGTGGGAGGACGGCCTGAGTCCAGGAGTTCCAGACCAGCTTGGGCAACAGAGTGAGACACTGTATTAAAAAAAAAAAAAAAAAAAAAAAAAGCCGGGCGCGGTGGCTCAAGCCTGTAATCCCAGTACTTTGGGAGGCCGAGGCGGGTGGATCACGAGGTCAAGAGATCGAGACCATCCTGATCAACTTAGTGAAACCCCGTCTCTACTAAAATTACAAAAAATTAGCTGGGCATGGTGGCGCGTGCCTGTAATCCCAGCTACTCAGGAGGCGAGGCAGGAGAATTGCCTGAACCCAGGAGGCGGAGGTTGCGGTGAGCCGAGATCGCGCCATTGCACTCCAGCCTGGGTAACAAGAGCGAAACTCCATCTCAAAAAAAAAAAAAAAAAAAAAAGCCAGGCCCAGTTGATCACGCCTGTAATCCCAGTACTTTGGGAGGCCGAGGTGAGTGGATCATCTGAGGTCAGGAGTTCAGGATCAGCCTGACCAACATGGACAAAGCCTGTCTTTACTAAAAATACAAAATTAGCTGGGCATGGTGGCACATGCCTGTAATCCCAGCTACTGAGAATCACTTGAACCCGGGAGCCAGAGGTTGGTGAGCCGAGATCATGCCATTGCAATCCAGCCTGGGCAATAAAAGCAAAACTCTGTCTCAAAAAAACAAAAACAAAAGTTAAATATATTCCCAAGCTTGGACTAGACATTCCCAGCTTGAAAAATGTAACCCCTAGAGTTGGTCAGTCCCTGGTAATGGAGGATAGGAGCACCTGATCAGCAAGGAACTATGAGAGCGCCACACCTCCTTCTCTCCTTTGGTAGCAAAGAAACATTAGCTTCCCCAGGTTTCCATTTTCCAACATGGTGATAAAAATAAAAATAAATTAGCCGGGCACGGTAGCACATGCCTGTAATCCCAGCTTCTCAGGAGGCTGAGGCAGGAGAATCACCTGAATCCGGGAGGCGGAGGTTGCAATGAACCAAAACTGCACCACCTTACTCCAGCCTGGGCAACAGAGCAAGACTCAGTCTAAAAAAAAAAAAAAAAATCTAGCAGAGTAACTCAAACCCAGTGTTTATGTATAAAGGAAGTAAGAAAATTTTAAGGCACTTTTGCTAACAACAAGAAAACCCACTACTGCTTTCAGAAAATGATAATGTCAAGCCGGGCATAGTGGCTCATGCCTGTAATCTTAGCACTTTGGAATGTCGAGGCTGGAGGATTGCTTGAGCCCAGGAGTTCAAGACCAGCTTGAACAACAGAGCCAGACCCCATCTTTAAAAAAGAAAAGAAAAGAAAATGATAATGTCACTTAATTATTTCCATGGCAGAGAACAGTCTGCTAAAGTATTACTCATATCTGAATGCTTCTAGGTGTTGCAAGTTTAAGTCCTGGAATACAGTTTGAAATCATCAAACTGGCCAGGCACAGTGGCTTATGCCTGTAATCCCAGAACTTTGAGAGGCCAAGGCAGGTAAATCACCTGAGGTCAGGAGTTCGAGACCAGCCTGGCCAACATGGTGAAACCCTGTCTCTACTAAAAATACAAAAATTAGCTGGGCATGGTGGAGGGCACCTGTAATCCCAGCTATTCAGGAGTCTGAGGCAGGAGAATTGTTTGAACCTGGGAGGCAGAGGTTGCAGTGAGCCAACATTGAGCCACAGCACTCCAGTCTGGGGAACAGAGTAAGACTCAGTCTCAAAAAAAAAAAGGGGGGAGGGGAAGAAAAGAAAATCATCAAACTAAAGGAACAGACCTCAGAAACATTCCATGTGCTCAGGCGAAGAACAAAGAATTTTTAACACGTAATACTGGGATTTTTTTTTTTTTTTTTTTTGGAGATTCACTTCTTTTTTGTCTCTTTGGAAATATTTTATACTGTCTCTCAAGTTCTTCTGATACCATATATTTTATATTTATCAGAAAAATTACATTGAAGTGAACATATCTTTTCAAGGTCATAAACCTAAGGTGGGACAGTGCCAATCTGAAACTCTGCTTAAAGGAGAGATCACCCAAGAATGTTTACAAAAAGGAATCTCAATTCAAAGGAGTTCCCATAGCGTATCTGTGCCCTGGAAAGATGCCAAGATGAGAGGCACAGCATTTTATGCAGAGTAGTTCCAAGTTAATAATTTTCCTGATTTTTCTCTCATGTAAAACATCCACAAACAAGAAATAAATCTTTTAAAAGAGGCATCCATTGGAAAAAAAGTTGTTGTTGTTGTTGTTGTTATTGTTGTTGTTTTTTGAGACAGAGTTTCGCTCTTGTTACCCAGGCTGGAGTGCAATGGTGCAATCTCGGCTCACCGCAACCTCCGCCTCCTGGGTTCAGGCAATTCTCCTGCCTCAGCCTCCTGAGTAGCTGGGATTACAGGCACGCACCACCATGCCCAGCTAACTTTTTGTATTTTTAGTAGAGATGGGGTTTCACCGTGTTGACCAGGATGGTCTCGATCTCTTGACCTCATGATCCACCCGCCTCGGCCTCCCAAAGTGCTGGGATTACAGGCTTGAGCCATCACGCCAGGCCCGGAAAAAAATTTTTTTAAATACTGCATGTGTTTGAAATGCACCACGCAGGACGAAGAGTTGGTGATGATGTTTTCCACTGGAGGGGGAAGTAGGCGTTTGGGAATGTGGGGAAGGATCTGGAAATCCACGGATTTATGAGCCGCCGTAGGAGGACCTAGGCTGGGGGACAGGGTAGTGGATTTGAGGCTCTGCTTCCAACATCTTTGGAAAACTCAGAGGGAAATCGCCTTTGGGTAGAAAGTAGGGACTGGGGACCTCACAGACTGCAGCTCCTCCCACACAAACCCCACACACAAGGCGGGACTCTCCCATGGCCCTCCTGTAGTTCCTGCACAATGTGGGAAAGACGCGGGGCTGCCCAGAGAGGGAGGGCTCCGGGGCTGGGACCGCAGTCGCCGCGCAGGGACGGGACAGGACGGTTGGAGTCCCGGCTGCCAGCCCAGCCCACACTGCCGACCAACGGGAGGCCCATGTCCCACAACAACGGCCGGTTCCAACCAGTCTGGCCCTGTACACTCACCATTTTCCGGCCTCAGGGGTGTCCCGGCCTCGTCTCTACGCTGCCAGCACAGGGTACAGCGCATCAGATGCAGGTAAATATCAACCTGACGCATCAACTGGCCAGGAGACTGTAAACGCCACAATCCGATCGCATAGTGACGTAACACGCATTTGCGCAGCGAAGCGGTACCCTTCTTTCCGGTGGCGCCTCTGATTGGGCAATTAATACAGCCCCGCCCCCTTTTGTCCAAATGACAGCTGGGCGGCAGGTCTTGTAGCTAGGCAGACCCCGCTTCCGCCGGTGGGACGGAACTAGTGCCCTCCGTGGACAATTGTGTTGAAGCAGAAATTGTTCCGGATCTCGGGTCGGACACGGAAGCCTTCTGTGTTTCTGGATGCGGGGACAGGGATGCGCAGGAATTCCAGTCTCAGTTTCCAGATGGAGCGACCCCTCGAGGAGCAAGCCCAGAGCAAGTGGTCGTCTACTCAAGGCCGCACAGGAACAGGAGGGTCTGCTGTGCTCCAGGTACTAGGGGCTTGGCATAATGTTGTAAGGCCTCTTATGAAATAGTGACCTTTATTTATAAACAGACAGTTACCCCATCATGTGTAATAAAAAGTGTGGCTGCATTTTAATCCTTGACTGTAACAGCGTGGATGCTTCCACCTTTCTTTTTCCCACCTTCACACATTTGGCACTTTAGAAAAGTAACCCCAAGCTAGGGCGTGGTAGTACACACCTGTAGTCTCAGCTGCTGGGAGCGTGGGTGGGGGGAAGGTGGATGGGCTGAGGCAGAGCTACTTGGGGTGGCGCTTGTGTGGGGACAGGGGGAACGGTGGGTGGGCTGAGGTGGGAGGATCAAGTGACGCCAGGAGTTTGAGTTCCGTCTGGGCAACATAGACAGAACCCATCTTAAGGGGGAAAAAAAAAGGAAAGGAAAGAAAGAAAAAAGAAACCGTAGGACACCCGAGCACTTGGCTCTGGTGGGAAATTGCAACCCTAACCTGGGCACAGGGACTCTTTTCAGACCAACCACATCTATGAGACGTGTTCAGTAAACTGCATTTTACTCTGGAAGGATTTTTTTTTTTTTTTTTTGAGACGGAGTTTCGCTCTTGTTACCCAGGCCGGAGTGCAATGGCGCGATCTCGGCTCACCGCAACCTCCGCCTCCTGGGTTCAGGCAATTCTCCTGCCTCAGCCTCCTGAGTAGCTGGGATTATAGGCACACGCCACCATGCCCAGCTAATTTTTTGTATTTTTCGTAGAGACGGGGTTTCACCATGTTGACCAGGTTGGTCTCGATCTCTCAACCTCGTGATCCACCCGCCTCGGCCTCCCAAAGTGCTGGGATTAGAGGCTTGAGCCACTGCGCCCGGCCAGGATTTTTTTTTTTTAAGCATGTTTTTATTGCTTTTTCATTTTTATTTTTCTTTTCGTAGATTTATGGTTACAAATGCACTTGTGTTACATGGATTTATTTCATAGGGGTGAAGTCTGACTTTTGGTACACCCATCACCCAAATAGTTCATATTGTACCCAGTAGGTAATATTTCATCCCTCATCCCCTCTTTCTCTCCAACCTATTGGCATCTGCAATGTCTATTATTCCACTCTGTTTGCCCATGTTTACCTATTGTTTAGCTCCCACTTATATGTGAGAAGATGCTGTTTTAGACTTTTTGTTTCTGCATCATTGCACTTAGGATGATGACCTCTAGTTCCATCTGTGTTGCTGTAAAGTGGAAAGAAATTTATCTCAAATAAGTTTTCTAGAGTATGCCTACAGAGCTTTGAAAGGCCAAGAGTCCAAGACCAGCCTGGGCAACGTATCAAGACCCCATTAAAAAAATTTTTTTTAATTAGCTGGGCATGGTGTTCACCTGTAGTCCTAGCTACTTCAGAGGCTGAGGCAGGAGGATCACTTAATGTCAAGAGTTTGAGGTTACAGTTAGCCAAGATTGTGCCACTGCATTCCAGCCTGGGAGAGAGAGAGATTGTCTCTAAAAGTTGTTTTAAAGTAGAAACATGTTTCATTTTCCCCGCTATAGAGGAAGCAGTGTAATCTTGAAAACTCTCATGACCCACCCTTCTTGTAGCTTTGTGTGTACAGGTAGATGCAGGGGAAACAATGCATCCACAGTTGTCAAATGTAACTCACAAAATGCATCTTCCTCTTTCTAATCAGATGCAGAACAGTGTACACCATGGACAAAACGTCAAGACTCAAACTGTAAGTAAGATGGCTACCTGTCAGTGTGGCAACCTTCCTGGTTTATAATGACTTTTTGGGCTTGTGCTTCTGTGGCCTCTTTGTGGGGGAGTTCTTGGGGTCTTTGTAAAGCATCAAGACAAGGCCAATAACGAGGCCTTCAGGTATGTTCTGTTCATTGCACAAGGCCAATAACGAGGCCTTCGGGTATGTTCTGTTCATTGCACAAGGCCAATAACGAGGCCTTCAGGTATGTTCTGTTCATTGCACAAGGCCAATAACAAGGCCTTCAGGTATGTTCTGTTCATTGCCCTCATCCTGTAACTTCATTGTCCCTTACCTTCATTGGCCATCCCATTACAGCCACTTGCATCCTTTGGAATATTACATTTGGGTTGGGTGCAGTGGCTCATGCCTATAATCCTGGCACTTTGGGAGACTGAGGTGGAAGGAGCGCTTGAGTCTAGGAGTTTGAGATCAGTGTGGGCAACGTAGTGAGACTCTGTCTCTACAAAACATTTAAAAATTGGCTGGGCACAGTGGTTCATGCCTGTAATCTCAGCACTTTGGGAGGTGAGGTGAGCAGATCACTTGAGGCCAAGAGTTCAAACCAACCTGGCCAACATGGTGAAACCTCATCTCTATTAAAAATATTTTTTAAATTAGCTGGGCCTGGTGGGGCATGCCTGTAATCCCAGCTGCCTGGGTGGCTGAGGCACGAGAATCACTTGAATCTAGGAGGCGGAAGTTGCAGTGAGCTGAGATCACACCACTGTACTCCAGCCTGGGCAGCAGAGTGAGACTCTGTCCCAAAAATAAATAAATAAATAATGGATAGATAAATCAAATTAGCTGGGCATGATGGCATGTGCTTATAGTCCAGGCTCCTCGGGAGGCTGAGGCTGGAGGATAGCTTCAACCTGGGATGTTGAGGCTGCAGTGACCTGTGATGGTCTCAAAAAAAAAACAACAACAACATAAAAACCACATATTTGGGCCAGGCGCAGTGGCTCATGCCTGTAATCCCAGCACTTTGGGAGGCTGAGGCAGGTGGATCATGAGGTCAAGAGATCGAGACCATCTTGGTCAACGTGGTGAAACCCCGTATCTACTAAAAATACAAAAAATTAGCTGGGCATGGTGGCGCGTGCCTGTAGTCCCAGCTACTTGGGAGGCTGAGGCAGGAGAATTGCCTGAACCCAGGAAGCAGAGGTTGCGGTGAGCCGAGATCGTGCCATTGCACTCCAGCCTGGGTAACAACAGCGAAACTCCGTCTAAAAAAAAAAAAAAAAAACCACATATTTGGAGTTATGTTTACTTGTTTACATAGTTTGGCCAAAATGATCCCTGCAGTTCTGACCTTCAAGGTTACCATACAAGAGAGGGATAAGGCACTGGTTGGTATCAGGGGTACCCAATTCCATCATTGCTATCTATTCCCTGATCTAAGTAAGTCTCTAATTCCAACACTTTGGGAGGCTGAGGTGGGAGGAATTTCATGGGGAATGACTACAGCCTCCATGCATATGGATACATAACATGAGCCTGAAAACATCATCACATAAAACCACAATTTGGTTATTGACTATTTCGTGAATCCTGGGTTCCTTGGCACATGGGAGCTTCAGTGCGACTTTCCTGGCCAGGAGCTCCTGCGACAGTTTCAATGAGGCCAGTCCTTAAGTTCAGCATGCTGGTATTTTTCAGTGTCTAGGTCACTGTCCTTCCTGTCTACCGAAATCCCAAATGGGGACAGTCATGATGGCTATGGAAATCTCAATCCTGGCCTCCACTGATTTGCTGCTACTTCTCTGTCTGCAGATGCTATACTATTCCTGTTACTTTTTTGTTTTGTTTTGTTTTTGGAGACAGGGTTCTCACTATGTTGCCCAGGCTTGTCTCAAACTCCTGGCTTCGAGCAGTCCTCCTGCCTGAGCCTCCCAAAGTGCAGGGATTACAGGTGTGAGCCACCACACCTGGCCTGAGCTTTCAGTTTTTGACAGCACTCAGTATATGTGGTGACACACATTTGGACTTTAATACCGAGAGGTTCCATTATTACTATTATTATTATTATATTTTATTATCATGTTCTATCACCCAGGCTGGAGTGCAGTGGGAAGATCACAGCTCAGTGCAGACTTGACCTCACAGGCTCAAGCAGTCCTCCTGCCTCAGCCTCCCTAGTAGCTGGGATTACAGGTGTGTGCCATCATACTTGGTTAATTTTTTGTAAAAACATTTTTTTAGCCAGGCATGGTAGTGCATATCTGTAATCCCAGGTACTTGGGACACTGAGGCAGAAGAATTGCCTGGACCTGGAAGGTGGAGGTTGCAGTGAGCCGAGATCATGCCACTTGTACTCCAGCCTGGGTGACAGAGTGAAACTGCACCTCAAAAAAAAAAAAAAAGTTTCACCATGTTGGCTAGGCTGGTCTTGAACTCCTGACCTCACGAGATCCACCTGCCTTGCCTCCCAAAGTCCTGGGATTACAGGTGTGAACCACTGTGCCCAGCCTACAAAGAATATTTTATTTTTTAATTAATTAATTAATTAATTTGAGATGGAGTTTTGTTCTTGTTGCCCAGGCTGGAGTGCAGTGGCACAATCTTGGCTCACCACAACCTCCACCTCTCGAGTTCAAGTGATTCTCCTGCCTCAGCCTCCCAAGTAGCTGGGATTGCAGGTGCCCACCATCACGCCTGGCTAATTTTTTAAATTTGAGCCAGAGTCTTGCTCTATTGCCCAGGCTGGAGTGCAGTGGTGTGATCTTGGTTCACTGCAACCTCCACTCCCAGGTTCAAGAGATTCTCTTGCCTTGGTGTCCTAAGAAGCTGGGACTATAGGCGCACACCACCATGCGCGGGTATTTTTTGTATTTTCAGTAGAGACAGGATTTCAACATGTTGGCCAGGATGATTTCAATTTCTTGATCTCGTGATCCACCAACCTAAGCCTCCCAAAGTGCTGGGATTACACGTGTGAACCACTGCACCTGGACAATTTTTGTATTTTTAGTAGAGATGGGCTTCACCATGTTGGTCAGGCTGGTCTCGAACTCCTGACCTCAACTGATCCACCCTGCTTGGCCTCCCAAAGTGCTGGGATTACAGGCGTGAGCCACTGGGCCTAGCCCTACAAAGGATATTTTAAATAATACAAATGAACAGCCAGATGAAGAGATACCTCTGGGCACATGGTTATGTTCTTATTTACCAACCAGAAGACTCTGAGCCCTGTTTTTGGGTGTTTATGGTGGCTTTATTATGGCGACATGATTAATCACGTCATTCACTATTGGTGATTAACTCAACTTTGTTTTCTCTTTCCTCCCTGGAGGTGGGGACACAGCTGAAAGTTTCAAGGCTCTAATCACATGGTTGGTTTCCCTGGCAACTAGCCTCCCATCCTATGGTTTGTAGGAGCATTCCAAAAATCTCCTCATTAACATAAACTTAGCTGTGGTAGAAAGGGGATGGTTATGAATAACTAAAGACATTTCTTTCACTCTTCTACAGCTATTTTAAGAACTGAAGACAAAAGGCCATTTTTTCTTCAAGAGAGGGTCTCCTTCACTCTGTCACCCAGACTGGAATGCAGTGACATAATCTTGTGTCACTGCAGCCTTCACCCCAGGGTTCAAGCAGTTCTCCCACCTCAGGATCCTGAGTAACTGGGACTACGGGTGCATGCCACTACATCTAGCTTTTTTTTTTTTTTAATTTTTAGTAGAGATGGGGTTTTGCCATGTTGCCAAGACTCGTCTCAAACACTGAGCTCAAGCCATCTACCTACCATGGCCTCCCAAAGTACTGGATTACAGATGTGAGCCACAGTACCCAGCATTTTTTTTTTTTTTTTTTTTTTTTTGAGACAGAGTCTTACTCTGTCACCCAGGCTGGAGTACAGTAGTGTTGTCACAGCTCACTGTAGTCTTGACCTCCCTGAGCTCAGGAGATCCTCTCACCTCAGCCTCTCCATTAGCTGAGCCTGTAGGCACTCACCCCTATGCCTGGCTAATTTTTGTATTTTTTGTAGAGATGGGGTCTCACTGTGTTGCCCAGGCTGGTCTTCAACTCCTGGGCTCAAGCAGTCTGCCTGCCTCAGCCTTCGAAAATGGTGGGATTACAGGCAGGCCAAATCTTCTAACAAAAGAGACTCTGATTCCTCTGGTCGCTGGTCGCTTAGGAAATTACAAGATTTTTAGCAACTGTGAGCCAGGAACCCTGGACAAAACCCAAAATATATATTTCACAATATCACAACTTTCTTTTCCACCAAACTGAGGGGTGGTGCTCAAAATGATACCCTCTGTCTGCAGTTTGACTCAATTATAACTTGGATATTCTCTAAAAATCCATAGTTCTTGTTGGTATGCCAACTGGGAAATCACTGTGGATTTGAAAAAGTACTCTGCACATAAGAAAAACCCATGATGGGGCCAGGTGCAGTGGCTCCTGCCTGTAATCCCAGCACTCTGGGAGGCTGAGGCAGGTGGATTGCCTGAACCCACGTGTTCGAGACCAGCCTGGCCAACATGGTGAAACCTTATCTTTACTAAAAATACAAAAAACTAGTCAGGCATGGCGGCGCACACCTTTGGGCCCACCCAGCTACTCAGGAGGTTGAGGCAAAAGAATAATCTGAGCTTAGGAGGTCACAGCTGCAGTGAGCTGAGGTCACACCACTATACTCCAGCCTGGGTAACCATAGTGAGACCCAGTCTCAACAAATTAAAAAAAAAAGAAAAAAGAAAAAAATGCATGATGAGCTGCACTGTGCAGATGACCATTACTCTCTAGGAAGACCTCGGTGGTTTTCTTTTTTTGAGACAGTCTTGCTGTGTCGCCCAGGCTGGAGAGCAGCAGCACGATCTCGGCTCACTGCAACCTCCATCTCCAGAGTTTAAGTGATTCTCCTGCCTCAACTTCCCACATAGTTGGGACTACAGGTGCATGTCACCACGCCCAGCTAATTTTTTTTATTTTTTGGCAGAGATGGTAGGGATTGGGTTTCACCA